AAGGTCCAAATGCCTAAGATTTGAAGGGAACACACAAAACCTCTCCCATCCAAATGAATCAAATAACTCCATTAAAGGGAACTCCAGAGAAAGAAAATGAAGGTGACTATGAACTTCCGCTATGGGAAAGTAAGGAAACTCAGGTACATCTTTAACGCTGAGGCAGAGTTCTTCAAGATTCGGAAACCTCCACCAGAATCTTGCATTCATATTATCGAAGTGTATATTGCAAGTGCCAAAACTCTTCATGTTCTCTAGCAAAGTTGTTGGAGAACTTTCTTGCTCATTGTCTTCCCATGCCACGGAAAAACAATCTATATTCACATGCCTTAGTTTCATCATTTCCCATAAAGTAGCAGCCCTTAGGCGTAACTTCTCACTTGACTTGAGCCAGAGAGTTTGGAGATGGTGTAGGTGTGATATCCACTTCAATTCAAATTGTTTGACACAAAGTGCAAGGTATCTCAACTCAGTTAGCGATTGAATTGCAGTAGCCCATGAATCTGGCAATTCCACATCCATCAAATCCAATGCCCGAACAAATCTTAATTTAACAACTAAATCTAAAGGATTTGAATATTGATTATTCCACACATTGAGTTTTGGATGAGCAATGAACTCCAAAGAGTTTGTTTCCTTGAAATCCAGCATTGGAATCTTATCCAGCTGGTAGTTTGAATGATCTAGTTGTTTAACGAGATCATCATGAATATAAATGTACAACCGTGATATCGTGGAATGCAAATGTTGATACGGATTGAATGGCACTGCGAGCTGCATATACTTGTCTTCTGTGAGTTTTCTCAAGCAAAACTCACGCACTACATCATGAAGTGAGTAGTATTGTACATCACAATAAAATCTCATTCCGGAGACCATTATTAGGCTTCTGTTAAGCAAATCACTCAAGCAAACTCGACATGCTTCCTCCATGTTCTCTGTTCCGGCATTCAATACAAACTCTTCAGCTATCCACAACTTCAACAGATGGTCTACTGGGATCTTATGGTCCTCTGGAAACAATGCCATGTAAAGAAGGCAAGGCTTTAAGTGGTCTTCTAAATGGTCATAACTTGATTGTATCACCTTCATACTCTGCTGTCCTAAAGCAAGAGAACTTAAGTCTGCTGCAACCTCGAGCCACAAGGACGCCTCCCTTTCCGTTTTTCCTAAAATTCCAGCAATCAAGACAACCGTAAGAGGCAATCCCTTACAGTGTAGGGCAACTTGTAACCCTGCTTCCACTAGATCCGGGGGGCAACTCTCTCCTCGAAATATCTTCTTCTCCAATAATCCCCAACTCTCTTCGGACGTTAGAAAGCTAAGAGAATAAGGAGGATCACTGTGGTGCTGAAGATGCTTAGCTATTTGTTCAATTCGTGTTGTGACCATTACTCTGCTTCCACATTCACCTTGAGGGAAACATATTCCCAAATCTTCCCATGCCTCGACATCCCAAATGTCATCTAGTACGATGAGGTATCTCTTGCCTATTAGAACCTTGCGCAACATGTCAGCTACATCATCGTCCTCTTTGATTTTGATCTTATTACTTGTAGCTTGTTTGAAAATCTCAACCAACAACGTTCTCCTATTATATGCTTGCGACACAGCACACCATGCTTTAACATCAAAGTAATTAAGAATAGAAGGATTGTTGTACACCTTTCTTGCCAAAGTTGTTTTACCAAGACCGGGCATCCCATAGATGGAGATAACATTCCGCTCCTTGGTTCCTCGTATCAATTTATTCACTATAATTTGTGCATGTATCTCAAAGCCCACAACATCATCATCATCATCATAAATTGATGTAATATTACTAGGTTTGTTTGAAGTATGTCCAGAAGAAGAAGTTCTTTTTCCACAAGTTCCAACAACCTCCATGGGCTTTGTCACCTTTCATAAAAGAAACGAAAACAACATCATTTTAGAATTTAGAGAAGAAAAAAACCAAACGCAAACATATCAAATTAATGTAACATATAACGTTTTGTGTCACAAATATATCCGCTACTACATACACTTTTACCTCCGTGTATTTTCTTTCGATTTTAATTCTAGGTTCCCTGAGTCAAAATTCGTTACTCAATAATCTTTTATTACCAAAAATGGTCATTTTTATTTTCGGCAAAATGCATTTGATTTTACAAACAAACACACTGTTGGGTTTGGACCAAAGCTTGAAAAAAGAGGAAAAATCAGTGACCTGTCGACGATTAAATTATATATGAAATTGCCGAATACAATAGCTAGTTCATCAAGTTTTGTTTAAATCCCTTTCCCATATAGTGGCAGATCGGATCCCAGACTTAAATATGCGAGTTTAACTTCACCTTAATATTCTTTCTTACTATTGAGAATGAAAAATGGAATAATCCGTCATTGACAAAGCTTCGAAGCTCAAATTTTAAATTTTAACTTACCATAAATGTGTTAATCATTTCAAATGAATAATATATGAAAATATTGAGAGGAACTCATATCTAAAATTTAAAACTGTTTAATAGAAATTTTGAGTTGGTTGAGATTGAAAAAAGAAACAGATCAATGAAGAAGATGAAATGTGATAATATATAAATATTATTATATATAGATATGATTCGTAATTTCTAATTTAGTTTAACAACTCTAAAATTTAACTTCTGAATGGAACAAAATCCCCAGTAAATAAGTGGAGAAGCAAATAAATAAAAAAAGTAAAAAATAACCAAGAAAAAACTGATTAAAAAATAGTAATGAATAATGAGTAAAATGTATGAAAAATAAAAATAAAACAATCTATAAATCTGACCTTGCTTGGGTTATTGAGAAGATAGCTTAATTTGATGCTTTTGTGTTGAGAGAAATGGAAAAAACTGAGAAAGAATAGAGATGGTGGACTTCAATGATATAAATATAATTGTTGATTAAACAAATAAATACATAAAAACTCCCAATCAATAGCTGTATGTATTGTACCCCATGTTTCCAATCGGAAAAGATAACTTTGTTTATGCTCCTTCCTTTTATATTATTTAACTTAAGTTTGATCTGATATTTGACTTGAGTGATTTACTAATCCACGTTGGATTATCTGCATTTCACGTATTTGGGCTACAATATTCGAGTGTTTTTTTGTTTAAGAGTTGGATATCTAAAGTGCCTCTTTGTGCACTTTGAAAGTTTAAGGTTAAAGTTAAAATTTAAAACCGACTTAAGGGTCCTATTTATGTACAATGCCATAAAATAATACTCTCTCCTTCCCATTTTATGTGGAAACATTTGATCCGATATGGAGTTTAAGAAATAAATGAAAACTTTGAAATAATTATTAAATTGTCCTTCAAAAGTAGACTCACTTTTCTGTCTCCTCATGAATGTATTAGTGTCACATAAAATGGGATAGAGAGAGTATATATGTTTTCCATCTTTTACTTTTATTCTTTTACTACCTCCATCCAGTTTTAATTGTCATGATTTCTTTTAATAGAGTCAAACAATGAGTATTTTGACTAACATTTTACGATGTATTTTTTATTATATTGACACGCAAAAAATTACAATTTCTAGCAATTTTCTATAAAATATTTTTATCTTTAAAAGTTTGACCTTACACCTTCTTATTTTTAGTATTTAGTACAATATAATATAATTATTACTTAGTATGTAAATAAATAGAATTTAAACCATGGTGTCTAGATGCATGTATTTAAATATGATTATTAATATTAAATTAATTATATATTAATGTTTAATTTAATTTGGAAATAAAATAAGGGCAAAATGGTAATTCAACTTTTAAGTTAGGAGTTGAATTTAAAAATATTAGTTTTACCAATTTATATTTTATTCATTAAATAAAATTCATAATAATCGAATATTACATTGACTATCAAGCAAGAAATATGGAAAAATAATAATATTACTATAGCATCTAATAATATGAATATATTTATATGATTTATCCTTAATAATCTCTCATTACGCTCCATATACTAAGTACACAAATATGTATCTACTTAAAGAAACTATATCAGTAAGGAAAGGATAAAAGAAAAAAATATTATAAAAGTACATTTAAAACTGAATATAAAAGTCATAAATTAGTAATTTCAGCACTGATAAAAATATACATAACATTTATAATTTCATAGTAGATTAAATTAAAGAATTATAAATCGGTAAAGAATATAACAAAAATAAACAGATAAGAAGAAATACAACATTCATACCCTTCTTAAGACTTTAATTATAACCATATATATAGTAAAAAAAATACATAAGGAGTAAAGTTCTTGATGATACCTCTCCAGTAACAAAAAAAAAAACATCTAAAATGATAAAGATAAAACTATGATACAAAATATCATTCTAATTAGAATCAAACAAATATGAATATTTAAAACAAAAAAAGTACATGAAAATTGTCTAATGATTCACATCAACAAGAGGTAAGTGATAAAGAAAAATTACTTTTTCATGATACATATATATAGCTAAAAATTTATATGATTAGATGAAAAGGTGAAGAGTTATTTAAGGTAATTTTTAGAAGTTAGTGATCTTAGACATGGGGGAGAATAAAGGTTGATTGTTGTTACTAATAATTCAATACATTTAATTATAATAATTATAGAGAAAGGATAACAAGTTTAATCCATTTAACCACACTAACTATAGAGAAAGAATAGAGACTTTTTTTTTAAAAAAAAAGTAATTTCTAACAATTTTCTATGAAATAATTTCTAATAATTTTCTATGAAATATTTTTGTTTTCAAAGTTTGACTTTACACCTTCTTATTTTAGTATTTAGTATAATATAATATAATTTTATCTAAGGGATATCATAATCTAAAGAAATTAAATTGCGTAAAAGCCATGAAAATATTTTGAGAAGATAAAATAATATGCCAACAGTGCAACTACAAGACCCATAAAGTAGAGAGAGAATATAAACTGGAAGAAATGAGTTAAAAATCTACCAGAAAATCAGCTCATAGGTATGTCTTCATCATCACCCTCTGGCAGTTGTAAAGGTCCCTTAAAACCACTCTGGTTTTCACCAAGAAGTTCACGGGCAGCTTTCTCAAGGAACTCCTGGGTAGCAGTTCGAACAGAGTGCTGCTCGGAATACTTCCTCTTCTTATGAACAACTCTTTCCAGATACTTAATCCTAGGCCCGTCAGCTTTACTGATTTCTCTCATGCTTTTTCTCTGCTCTGCAAGACAGACTTGTTTTAAGACACGCCAAACACAATGGAACTTGCACACATTTAGAAAGTAGTTTAGCACTTACCAGGTGTAAGATCAGGCAACGAATGCTCGATAAATCGAGGAGTAAGAATAAAATGATAAAGAAATTTGACAGTGTGGTAACTTTATAAAGTGCAAAGAATACGAAAAGGGTATAAAATATTTAACTAATTGAAGTTTAAAAGACAAAAGATATAAATGTTGTAATATGAAAAGTTTGATACATTATTTAAATGATCAGGAGAAAGTGGTTACTTTTAATATAATTAGGGATATTTTTGTAATTCAACTTTCAACTATGGAGCTTCATGCTTTTAGTATAATATGATATGATATGATATGATGATTTGATTGCCTTTCATCTACCAAATTTTTTTTAGCAGGGCATTGAACCATGATAGATGCATTTGTTTTAGTTTCTAAATTCAAGGAATCACAAACTTTGAAGAGTTTCATACATTATAGTTTTATGACAAATAAATTTATGTTAATTTCAAAATTCGAAGAGTTTTATACATTATTGTTTTCTACTCTAATTTAATTTAACCTATTTAATTACAATTATAATGTCATAACTAAAAAATTAAAGTGTAGTTTTAGGACTTTATATTATACCATTATGTAATTAAATATAAGTATTTAAAAATAAATTAATTTATTTTGATTTAGTGGAGGGGCAAAATGGTAATCCAACTTTGAAGGTTGAAGCTTCCCGCTTATAATAATATATGATGTGATTTTAGTGATCACTTTACCCATAAACTCCACAACAAAATTACTAAGTTAAGATGAATCTAATTTTTCGTGTTGCGTTTGCTCTTGCCTGCTTTGTCACCCTGCAACTCATGATTTGTGCAACCAAAGATGACTCCATTTTCAAATCTCAAATTTAAGAAATCTAATTAAGGATTAATAAATACTTATTCCCCGCCATGTCTCTACAACAATGATATATTGATGATCGACATCTTGTTGGTAAGTAGTCTTTCTGTCACTATTGTTCCATACAAAGCCTAATTTTGTTCCGAGTTATAATCAACTTTTTATTTCTTTTAACTGGGACATCCCAATGCTCCCAAAAGTTATCATATTTTACTAAAATATGGAATATTATTTTGTCGATAGTTGATTAATACTTTTAAATATATTCATATAATGTAATGATTTTAGTTATTAAAAGAATAAATCAACGTTGTCATTCTTATCGTGATAGAGTTATATGCATGTTAAGTTCAATTATGTTTGATTATGATATGACGTGTCTTTCTTAAACCCACTTTTATTTAAATTTTATCCTGAGAGGAAGAGTAGAAAGAAAGAAAGGACATAATTAAAAGACATAATGATTGATAATTTAAAGATAATTAGTAAATAGTTTAACAATTATTTGCTTCCTTAATAATCTCATATAAGCTAGAAAATTTGAGCATTCCTTCATTCTAGCGATATTCAAGATACTATAATTTTGCTATCATAATACAAATTCTAAATACTATAATATTGGCGGATAAATAGGACAACTAACCTATCAAGTATTGAAATCCTCCCTTTTACATGCCTTTAAAAATCTATATATATAGCTAAATGGAAAACAATTAAAATATCAAAATTTTAGTTTCTTTTACCACATTTTTCTTTAAGTTTCTTGCATCAACACAAAGATGGCTTGGCATTACAACTTTTCCTCCATCTTATTGTTTGCTTTTATCTACTTTATGCATGACGACATGATAACTACTATAACGGCACGTCGCCTTCTTCAGACCCCTAGTTTTTCAGCACCCGCTACTCCTAGTTTTTCAACATCCGCTGTCCCAAGTTTCTCGACGCCCACTAATCCCAGCTTCTCAATGCCTGCTAACCCAAGTTTCTCCAATTCCCCCGGTCTTTCAAAGCCTGAGAACCCTAGTTTTTCTAAACCTGAAAAACCTAGTTTTTCAAAGCCCAAGACTCTTAGTTTCTCAAATCCTGAGACACCTAGTTTCTCAAAGCCTGAGAATCCTAATTTCTCTAAACCTGGAACACCAAGTTTCTCAAAGCCCGAGACTCCTAGTTTCTCAAAGCCCAAAATTTCTAGTATTACAAAACCCGAGACCCCTAGTTTCTCAACGCCAACTACCCTAAGTTTCTCCAATCCACCTAGTCTTTCAAAGCCTGAGGCCCCTAGTCTTTCAAAGCCTGAGGTCCCTAGTCTTGCAAAGCATGACATCCCTAGTTTTTCAAAACCTGAAACACCTAGTTTCTCAAAGCCTGAAACTCCTAGTTTTTCAAAACCTGAAACCTCTACTTTCTCAAAATCAGAGAACCCTACTTTTTCAAAGCCCGAGACTCATAGTTTCTCAAAGCCAGAAACTCCTAGTTTCTCAACGACTGAGACACTTAGTTTTTCAAAGCCTGAGACACCTAGTTTTTCCAAACCTGAAACTCTTAGTTTCTCAAAACCTGAGGCTTCTAGTTTCTCAAAGCCTGAAACTCCTAGTTTCTCAAAGCCTAAGACACCTGTCTCAAAGCTTGAAACACCTAGTTTCTCAAAACCTGAAACCCCTGGTTTCTCAAAACCTAAGACCCCTACTTTCTCAAAGCCCGAGACCCCTAGTGTTTCAAAACCTGAAACTCCTAGTTTCTCAAAGCCTGAGACTCCTAGTTTTTCAAAACTTGATACCCCTAGTTCTCTAAAGCCTGAGACTTCTACTTTTTCCAAGCCTGAAACTCTTATTTTCTCAAAGCCCAAGACTCCAAGTTTCTCCGAGCCCAAAATCCCTGGTTCACCAAAGTCTGAGAATCCTACCTTCTCAAAACCTGAGAACCCTAGTTTTTCAATGACCAAGACTCCTACTTCCCCAAAGCCCGAGACCCCTACTTTCTCAAAGCCTAAGACTCCTACTTTCTCAAAACCTGAGATCCCAAGTTTTTCAAAACCCGAAACCCCTAGTTCTACAAAACCCATGATTCCCAGTTTTTCAAAGCCTGAGAAACCTAATTCCCTAAAGCCAGAGACCTCTGATTCTCAAAAGCTCGAGACCCCTAGTTTTTCAAAGCCTAATGCCCCTAGTTTCTCAAAACCTGAGACTCCTACTTTCTCAAAGCCTGAGACTCCGATTTACCCAAAGTTAGATACTCCTTCTTTTTCAAAGCTTGAAATTCCAAGTTCTCCGAAGCCTGAGACCCCTAGTTTCTCAAAGCCCGAAACCCCTAGTTTCCCAAAGCTCGAGACTCCTAGTTTCTCAAAGCCTGAGACATCAAGTTCCCCAAAATATGAGACTCCCATTTTTACAAAACCCGAGACTCCAAGTTCCCCAAAGTCTGAGACCCCTACTTTCACAAAGCCTGAAACGCCAAGTTCTCCAAGCCCCAAGACACAAAATTCTCCAAAGCTTGAGACCCCTAGTTTCTCAAAGCTTAAGAAACCTAGCTTTTCAAAGCCTGAGACTCCTAGTTTCTCAAAGACTAATACTCCAAGTTCCTCGAAGCCTAAGGCACCAAGTTCCCCAACACCCGAGATGTCAAGTTTCTCAAAGCCCAAGGCTCCTAATTTCTCAAAATCTGAGACTCCAAGTTCTCCAAGTCCCTCAAGTTCCCTAAAACCTAAAACTCCTAGTTTTTCGAAGCCCGAGATTCCAAGTTCCCAGAAGGCCGAGACCCCTAGTTTCTCAAAGATCGATACTCCTAGTTTTTCAAAACCCGAGATTCCTAGTTTCTCAAAACCCGAGAATCCAAGTTCCCAGAATCCCAAGACTCCTATTTTTTCAAAACGTGAGACACCAAGTTCTACAAAGGCTGATACTCCAAGTTCCCCAAAGCCCGAGACCCCAAGCTCCCCAAAGCCCGATACTCCAAGTTCCCCAAAGTCCGAGACAGCAAGCTCTCCAAAGCCCGAGAAACGAAATTCTGCAATGCCCGAGATGCCAAGCTCCCAAAAGCCCGAGACTCTAAGTTCCCCAAAGATCGAGATCCCAAGTTCCCCAAAGCCTGAGACGCCAAACTTTCTAAAGCCCAAGACACCAAGCTCCTCAAAGCCCGAGACGCCAAGCTCCCAAAAGCCTGACACCTCAAGTTTTAAGACTTCAAGTTTTCCAAAACCAGAAACTCCTAGTTACCAAAATCCCGAGACACCAAGTTCCCCAAATTCCAAGACGCCAAGTTCGCCGAAGCATGAGACCCCAAGTTCTCCAAATTTTAAGACTTCTAGCTTCTTAGAGCCAGATTTACCTGGTTTCTTAAAACCCAAAACCTCTAATTCTTCAAAGCTTGATATTCCAGTAGCCCCAACAGCAGCCCCGAAACCTGAGACTCCAACTGTTTCTAGGCCTGAAAAACCAAGTGTATCAAACCGTAAGCTACCATCAGAGATCCCAACATTTACAAAGCCTGAATTACCTGTTATTTTAGATCCTGAGATTCCAAGTATATTAAAGAGAGAAATACCAAAACCTTCTGAACACACATTGTCAACTTCTCCCTAAGTAACTATGATGTTATTTATGTGTCATGACTTGTGTTGGCTAGCTAACAGAGTATTAGATCGCATATAAATGAGTTGAAAATGGGTTAGATGCGAATAGATAAAGTTTTTACTTGTCATGTGAATAAAAATGAGTTGAATGATGGATGATTTTTGTATCCACATATTATTTACTCATAAATTGTACAAAAATGAAATTTGTTATCAAATAAAGTGAAACACTTTTTTTTCTGTAATTTTATTTTTTGATAAGCCAACTTACATTGTTTTTCACTCTATCGTTAGATGTTTGTTTTTTCTTAATCAACATATGTAGATTCTATGATTGATCTATTTTACCACATATTATTAGCCGGACATGATCTCTGTTTCTGCTAAATCGTCGTTGTTTATAGACTGAAACATTTTTTCCTATCAGATTTCGAAAGCATGGACATGATTAATTAAGTGTGCGCTACGTTGGTTGCATAATATATATTTTTCACTTTGCTCTTATGTATTTGACTAGTTCCAGAAATGTGTGTTGCACGTTTATCCCAAAATATTTTATATAAATTTTTTTTTGTAAATGACATATTTTCTCCACTTCAAATTTATTGATATTTACCAAAAAAAATCATTGTTTT